CGAGGTCGGATCCGAACCTGAAACCTCCGCTTCACAGATCAAAGCCATCGATGATTGTTGGAGGGCATCACTGGAAGGTCCCCTTTTTTTTCTTTCCCTCGTCTGATTTAGTATTTTGTCGTACCGTACAGGAGGCTAAAAACAGGTCCTAGACATGGGTGGTTGATGCCTATATAAATAAATTATTGATTTTGCTTTACTTTTTTTTCCAGTACTATACACTATCACTAATTTTCATCAACTTTAATTTAATGTGCTTTACACCACCATCAATACAATTTAGACCATTTAGGAGGAGTGTTTCAAGCCTGCTTATCAGTGGTTGTCAATCTGAGCTGAGAGGGATAAAACGTTTCAGGGGAAAGACGGAGGTACTCGAAAAATAATCTCCCCACCCAGGAGTCGAATTCAGGTCCTCTGTGTGCGACAGCGAGGTGTCTAACCTCTACACCACAGTCGTCGGTGAAAGGTCATTGACATACATCCCTTCACTACAAATTAACAGACTGTGGGTATTTAGTACTATTTAGCCGGTGCTCTGCTGTGATTTGCTCCCTCTTTCCTACCACACATGTATCGTCCTTTTTTCTCCTTCTTCTTGTCTCTGTATGAATCTTCAGAACGTATATCTTAAAGAATATTTAAGTTGCAAGTGTCTTAAAACTCTTATTTAAACTAAACTGTTCCAGGTTTCAGGATGAAATAAATTATACTATGATCTACTTGTATTGAAAGTGCCGCAAATCTTTTACAAAAACTGAAACCTGAACTAAAAAAGGCACCAACCACCGGAGCAGATAATACCGAAAGTGACATTAAAACACAAGTGCATTAAACCCCATGTCTAATGACGTGTTTCCCTCTCTCCCCCAGGTCGTCTGGGAGTCTGGCCTGTAGGTGTGAAGTGTTTGGATTACCTGTAGCCGGCGCGCCAGGTATGTCTTCCCGTGTGTATGTCACCCAGGTCCTTTGTGTGGGCTCAGTCTGCGACATTCGTGCACGATCTGCACAGAATTTGGGACATAACAGAAGTCTAGACAGTCAAACAAACAGACAGACCGAAAAAAGAAGAAATAAACGGACGAAATAGTGAGACAAAAGGATAGTGACAGTTATGTGAGGCAGCGTGGTGGAATCAGGCTCTCGTTAATTTTTGGGCATGCACAGTTATTGGTATCATCTTAAAGCTTGTTCAATTGTCTTTATTTTGATGAAGAACGTATCCATTTATCTT